TTCTATGTATTACAGTGTATTATACTTCCTAATCAATTGCTTTAAAAGAACTTTATGAATAACTTCATATAAGTTATTCATGGTCCAACTTTATGGATCACATGATCCTTACTTTATACATGAAGAACAATGTGCACAAAATCATGTAAATATAAGTATCTCACGTGTCTAGACAATAACAATAGTTTGAAAATAATAGCAAAATACTAAATGAACTACTGAGTTCCATGTGAGTTATTTGATCAACAATAATAGCAACCTTTAGTTGTTTGATCAACAATAATAACTTCTTGTTGTATACTTAACAGCTAAATTTTACTTTCTAAATAACTATTGAATACCTTATGTCAACTTGCTTATCTTGATTCCCACTCTTTCATGTATACATATAAAGTCGAATCGAATATCTATAGTGTGATATCGACAAACTTTATGTCAAACGGCAGATGCCTATGGTATAACTTCATAGCATCCTTAATGAATTTATATATTCATTCCAATGCATGATGTGAACATTATGCAATTGTTCACTATTATTACTTAAAAGTAATCAAAGAACTCTTGCATGAAGATCTTAAAATAGATTAACTATCTTTTACATTCTATTTTGTGAATATCAATGATAGAAGGGTTTCACAAATATCATTATTATCCTAGACCAAGTCCTCCGGATATTCAATATGAAGAAAGATCAAAATTTAGAACAACTAAATATGATGGAGACTCAATATATGAATGGAACATAGATGGCAAAGCAGAATATGAAGTATTAAATAATTTGCAAGAAATGGGAATGGCGAGATTAGCCTATAAAATTAAAAATATTCAAGAAAGAAATATTGCAACTTTATTAGTCTCAGGATTTACTGGACAATTAAAGAATTGGTGGGATAATGCTTTAACATTACAAGATAAATTATCAATATTAGATCATACACAAGAAATAGAAGATGATCAAGGAAATATTCAAATACAGTCAGATGCTGCAGAATTTTTAATAGTAACAATAGTAATGTATTTTATAGGAAATCCTAAAGAAGAATTAAATTCAAATAAAACATTCTTAACAAATTTAAGATGCCCAACATTATCAGATTTTAGATGGTATAAAGATATGTTTTTAAAATAGAAGAATTGGTGTTTTATTATTTGATTTTGGTGTATTTTATTTACTTTTATAGCTCATGAACTAAGTTTTTAGTAAAAATATGCATTTTATGATTTAAGTGTCAAAAAATTGCATTTCTATGAATTTTAATGGTGAAAATTTCATGTTTTTGTAGGTTTAATGATTCAATCATCAATTGTACTGACTTGAAAAGATATTTGAATGATTATTGATGAATTGGAGTGATTTAAAAAAGACATGAATTGCCAAATGTTCAAAAGAGAAAATGCAATCAAGAATAAAAGGAAGGGAGTTTTTTTAGTTTTGACACCTTGTGATATTTCAGCTATATGTTGAGATACACGTATTGGATTGAGATAATTTTTAAACTATTTTGAAGTTAAGAGATAGATCTATATTTTTCGTGAGAACCTCGAAATTCAGTCCAGTCGTTTTCATTGTCAAAATATAGAAGTGCAATTTTGTTGCCGAAAGTTGAAATAGGGGATTGACCAGTCAAGGGTGTTTTGATCATTTATCGGTCCACAAAACTTCAAATTAGATGATTCTAGAGGCATTGGAAAGCTAAATCAAAGGGATATAACTTTCATGTTTCGTACAAGAATCAGTTCAGCTTCTATCATCAAGAAAATATTAGTTGAATTTGGACCAAAAATAGAGCAAAGAGAAGACTTGACCAAAGATGAGCAAACCTGCAAAAGAGCAAAACGTGGGTATAATACGCGATCTTAAGTCGCATTTTCGAGGTGGTGTATTCTTCAATTTTGGCTGCAACTTACTTTGCAACTTGTGCTCTATTCACACAAGTTTTTTGACCCATTTTTCTACAAGAATTCTAGCTGTATCTAAGCAAGTAAGTATAGAATCTTGTAGAAACAACCTTTGAGAGTTTCAAGAATAAAAAATGTCAACTAGAAACAACTCTTCTTGATCTTGAATCTCTCTATAAATAGCAGCCTTGGAGGATATTTTTCACAATTTTGGAAGGCTAGAGAAACTCCACAATTTTGATAGTCTTCACTAGTTTTTCTTAGTTCACTAGTGTAGTATAGTTAGTGTAGTTTTTCTTTCTTGTACTTATAACTAGATTTGGATGAAGATTTGAAAAGCAAAGATAGAGAGTTTGAAACTTATGTGACAAGGTTGACTTCTCTCCTAGCACTTTCTCTTTTGTATTTGATTTTATATTTAGTTATAATACAAGTTTGGTATTTGTTTTCATATTTTATTAAAGTTTATGCCTAAAATTATGAATAAACTTTTCATATCTTGTTAGTGATATTTACTTGGTTATTTGATGATATTATTTTGAACAAGTTATTTATCACTTTTGCTTTTCTAATCATGATTAACCGGCCATTAATTGTGATAATGTTAAGGTGTTAAGTTTGCAAATGAAAATTGAAATTTAACACTAGTTCAAGAAAGTGATAACTAGGAAGTACACTCACAAGAGTAGATGTGCACCTATGTGGGTTTAGTGACTTGTTTCATGTAATTTCATAGAAGAAATGAGTTTGTAATTAATTTCATAACTACAAAAGTAGGTATGGCTTACTTACAAGTACAGTTGATTCACTACGAGAGTAGGTTTCACATACATTAGGAAATTACGTCGTAATTAATCAAGATAATAGCATTCACTTAACCGGTATGTCATTTGTGAGAGTAGTAAGGAATTTCATACCTCTAGGAGTTTTATATTATTATTTGTATTACTTTTATTTTATGTTTATAGTGTAGATTTAATTTCTTACATTTGTCATAGTCTAAATAATAAAGAAATTTGAAAATCATCGGTAATTGATAATCTAACCTGTAGGTTCAACCTTTAATACCCTATATTTAATCACGACTCGTATACTTGCAAAAAATTGAGTGTGGGGTATTTAGGATTTATAATTGTAAAATTTGATTGTAGATGAGTTAATTGTTATATGTATACCTCGCGTTTGTCAATAATTATTTTAATGAATTAATTGTAACTTGATATAGATGCCATTTTTTTTAATTTCTTTAATCACTCAACAATATGTGAAAAAAAAATACAAAATTTCTCCAAACACCAATATACTTAAGATGTTGTGGTTACTTCTAAGTATACGGTGTTATAAGAAAAATTGTCAACTAGTTAATATTGACTAAAAATTCATAATTTCAATCACCAAATTGTATATGATGAAAAGTTTTCTCATCAAATATTTGGGATGCTGTGACTACTCCTAAATATATAATATAAAAGTGAAATTCTTAGCATGGTATCTTGTTATTTGTCAATAGTCAAAAACTTTATGTTGACTGAATTTCATTGAATTTTCCTTTCCTTTTATAATCACTTAATCTTATGTGATTAATGTTCTTTACACCATATATTTGAGATGTTGTGACTACTTCCAAATATATGATCCAAGAAAACTTCTAAAATGAATATTCATAGAAAATAAGTAGCCAACTTGTTAACTAGAAATCCTTGATTTTAATCACTGAACTATATATGATAAAAATTGTAGTACACCAATGTTTGAGATGCTATGGCTACTCTCAAACATAAAGTGTGCTAGAGTTTATAAAAATACCAAAATAGTCAAAAATTTTGTGTTTTGACAAAAGAATTTCTCAATTTTCCTTTTTTTATATTCATTTTTAACCACCAATCTTTATGTGATTAAAATACTTCATGCATCAAATAATTGAGATGCAAGACAAACTTTATAAAGGAAATTCTCTGAAATTCAAATGTAATCAACCATACTAATGTTGATATTATAATATGAGATAAATGAACATAAGTATAGTGCACAAAAATATTACATAATTCCAAATAATAATAGAAACGTAGAGGCAAACTCATATTGAAATCATACCTTTAGATATTTATCTCGTAATAAGGTAGCAGAGATTCAATAAGCCAGCAGATCCATTCATATAAAGTCAACCAATTATTTTGCATAGATTAATATGATATTAATCTTTTGATCGATGAATATAATAACTCTTTATATGTTTCTTGAATTGTTATATTGTATTGATAACAACAATCAATACATATAACCCTTACAATCACAAATATATAAGTCCAAGAAACATTCAAATTATTTGTAGTTATACTAGATTATTAGAGAAAATTTGGATGAATTGTATAATCAAATAAGGTATCATATGAATGATACATATCATGAGATTAGTCATTAAATCTCAATTATTGAGAAAATGAAACCATAAATCCCATGACAAATTAAATTTGATTCATTCAAACTTGATATGAATTTCTAAAACTTTTACCCGATTGTCAAAAGGCCATGAAGTTACAAGCTGAACAACATGGTTAGAGGTTTGCTCTAATACCACATGTTAACTAATTATATACATATGAATGTACTCTACAGCGAAAATCTAAATACACTTACCTCTAACCATTGTTGTCAAGCACAAGTTGATCTTTTCTTGTGTCTTTGACTCTTTCTTGTCTATTTTAACAAAACAAAATATGTAAAAGAAGGAAAAGTGGAAGGAGAATTTAGAGTAAGAATCTTCTAACCTGTGTCTAACCCAAAAATGTACAATTGATGGAATACCATAGACTATTTATAGGTTAGGTTACGGACCTGTACTAGCAAATACAGAATCCGTAGGGTTTCCTTCCATCAAGGAAATCTTGCCAAAATTCATAATTGAAAATAATATTTTCTGACTAATTGATTGATTTGATTGATTAACTAATTGAATAAGATATCAATCAATCATTAACAATGAGAGGTACTAATTAATTGATTGATAAAATGTCAATCAATTAATCACGATATCAATCACTAATCATTATCTAATGGGAGATGCTAATTAATTTTTGACAAAATATCAATCAATTAATTATGATATCAATCACTTTAGAATCAATCATGTGGGTTATAATTGCCTCAAAAGGAGGCAAGTCTTACATGCGGATCAACATCTTTGGATTCACACACACTTCAGGTAACTTTGTGGCACATTCTAGTTGAAAATCGGTAGACAGAGGAACTGATTTTAGCAATGGTAAATTAGCCATGAATGGTCAGACTAGCCAAGGTTGTTGGCCTTTTTTCTGAAGCCAGTAATATCTAAATGATACCCCTGGATGCAGGAAATTGGAATACCGTATTGTCCTTCCACTTTTGGTTATGTTTCTCCATTTCCAGCAGCCAAAAGATTGCCTTCAGGAATAGCATCAACTACACTGTCAGCACCGATCCCCACAATCACATCTTTTGCTATCAACCATCAGAATCCATCATGTTGTTCAGCTCACCAATTTCAGATTTGTTGCAAGGTTCAGAAATAAGTTGTCAATTTCCAAAATGTTTAACCCTGAGCTCATGTCATTTCTATGCCATCCAAATTCTAAACACTCGGACTTCTAGAACATCCAGGATAATCTCACAAACTGTTTCCTTGCTGAGGTCACGTTTCAGAATAATTTGTTCTAGAACTGGTTATGGTAGTTTGTCCAGAATAATGATTCCCCTTTTCCGCCAGAGTTCATTCGTAGCTGCCCACTGATGCAGTTCTTTAAAGCCACGACGTCGGAAAGCTGACAGCAAACAAGTAGCACTCAAGTGTCAGAAACCAGTCATTCACCTGTTCGTATGCAAACAGAAGTTATTCTTATCCTTTGGAATAAGCTCCATGCCAATGGAGAATATTAAATGCCCAGTGTTTGAAGTTATATTATGTGGTAGCGCAGAGGCTGTTGGAACTTTATATTTTAACTGATTTTGCTTAATCGGTTAAGCCATCATGCATATGGACTTTCTCATCTTCCACTATGTTGGTCCAGTTACTAATACTTCAACTACTTTGTGTTGTTTGGGAGTGGCTGGATTGAGGTAGCACAATATGGCTAGGTGCAACGCTAGGAAATTGATAAAGATTTTAAAAAATGTGACAACAAAATGAAATATGTACAAGAACTGATGGACTAGATTGCATTAGCCTACTAGCTGCAGCACCCAAAGACAAAAAGCAAAAATTCTAGGACCTCACACTTATGGGGAAAAAGGGGATTTCTTCAGCTTGATATATTTATACGAGGAAGCAGAATGGACTCTTCACAAATTGGCTATTACATGTAGAAAATAGCGTGCACGGCTGACCCTATATGACCTCAAGAATCATCAGTAAAGCTAACTTCTTTTGAATGACAAAGAATTCCATCCCCGAAGAAATGTGCAGCTGATATGCAAAGCTAAAAATAGAAGTTATCAAGCTTATGAAGAAAGAATGTGGGATGCATGCAAGTAAATTATGCTCATTTATAAACATATTATACATGGTTTACAAATTACATAGCAGCGTCCATGGGACAAGAAGCTGTTTATCTCCAACTTCTACTCTGATTTGTGCAAATTATGGAGTATATACAACGAAGCTGAAGACAAAAAAATACTTATAGAATAGCTCAATAGATCCATACCAGTTACTATTGTTACCATCTTGCTTCTTTCAAACATCTTCACTAAAAGAATCATGACAATTACATGTCCTACTTTAGTCTTTAACTCGTCAAGCGAACTAATTTTCATCCATTTTGGTCTCTCCTGCAAACGATGAAACCTGTTTATTAGCAAAGAAACTCTTGATGTGTAGACACATCACAATGTGAAAAGCAACTCGTGTGTGCAAATACATGATTAAAGTTGATTATTTTGATCAGTTCCACCAAACTCGAACTTCTTTTCCTTTTTAAAATGCAACTGAAAAGAAGAAACAAGTGTCATTGACTAATAGAATCTCACATTTCTTGTTGTTTGTCTATAATAGAATAGACGAGAGGCCACTCCATTTAAATAAATACAATATCAGAAAAACTATTTACTTCTAGAATATAACTTCATTAGCAATCATTTTTTTTAAACTAACTTAACCAAACTCCTTTGACATTTATTCTACTTTTGCGTCAGTATCAATTTGCAAGGAAAAGGAAAACTAAATGAAGAAGAATAGTTTAGCGACCAAAGATACCATCTAAAAAACTTCAAACTTTAAAAACCAAATCAAAGTTTGAAAAACAAAAACTCAAAGTTTGCACAAAAGCGTCTTTTGATCTTAATTAATAAAATGTTTAACACTGTACAAAAGGTCAATTTGCCGTCCAAAAAAAAAAGAGGTATAAATGTACAGTGTGTGAAAAACTAATCACTTGGAATATAATTACTGCACGAAAAGAGGAAACTTAACTGGGAAAACAAAAAAAAAAAGAAAAGCCAGTGCAAAGAAGACATGGAAGAAGTCATACAAACAGGAGAAGTAAGCAAGTAAACAAAATGATGCTACCTTCAGTGCAAACATCCCAAATAAGGAAGAACCCTTAAGGGCACGATCAGAAGCAGGAGATTCATTAGGATCCACATTAGAGATGAACAATCCATACAAGCCCATCCCAAAAATTAACATTACAGTTCCAGCTAGATATACATCTGCAAAAACATGAGTAAACATCACCAAGAGCCGGATGCAGTAAAAATAATGAAAAAATAAGCAAGTTAGGCTTCTTTGAGAAGGAGAGGTGGATGCCATCAAAGAGATGAATTCCTGAACATCTGATGCTGGTTCATTAACAGGAGAAAGCTTTATGTTGATTGCTAATTACTACATTGCAAGTGCATTAGCTACAATTGGACAAAAAGTTACAACTTCTTCACCTAATGTGCCTACTTCCTTGAATGATATGCTTACTGAATGGGGGAAAGGACCTGGCAGCAACTAATGATACATCAGCAGAAAGAAAATTCATTTACACTCAAATTCAAGAGATCTTTCAGAATAATAATGAATCTGGAGCCCAAGAAACAGTGTATGTAGAAGCAAGATCTAAGAACAATGAGAAAAATGCAGATACTTTTCTGCATGATACTTTTCAAACAATGCAATTCTACTTCAATCTCTTTAAGAATATTCCAAAGTCTGGGCTCTGGGTTCTTTTCTGAGCTCTTAGAGAACAGTAAGCAAGGGTTTACCTCTATCCTCGGGAAAATAATGGAAGTGAGGCAGGTATAAAGCTGAGGTAAAATGGTATTGCCTTCCAGACACTAAAGATTAGTGCTGAGACACAAATCTCCATGACTAGAGATGATAAAGGGGAAAAGTAGTGTAACATTAAGTGGGAAATTGAAATTTCCAATTACTGGACCATCAGGCAAAGTGTTTCCAATGGCGATCCAAAGCATGACACAGTTATGGTATGTGCCTGGTGTTCATTAAGTCAATCTCGCGGAAACACACGAGAAAGCCCCATCTTGCTTTCTCTCTCTCTCTTTTCTGTTTTTGGGAATAGTAGTTTCTGCTATCATCACCAGTACCAATAAAGGATAAATTGGAAGTTATATAGACTAAGTAAGAGAAGACAACCACTTGTGCCTCCCAAAAAACTTCACAAGATCTTCAAATAGAAAAAAAAAAAAAAAGAATCTAAAAGATGATGGGAGACCATTATGAGCAAACAAATAGAATATTACACCTTCCTATCTGCATTTATTATTTTAACGAGTACAATTAGAGGAGAGTAGAAATGTGTAAGAGTTCCAAGGTAAAAGTCAAGCTGTCAATTATGGTCATCTGTTACTTAATTCAGATTCTACAGTATAAAATTGCAATGGTGGGGTTAACCATTTTTTGTTGTTGTAAAAGAAGAAAAATCTTTTTTTTGATCTTTGTCATACAGGGAAGGTTGAAAAGGGGCACAGAGAACATGGGCAGTCAGAATTTTTTTAATCCTTGTTCTAAAATGCGGAAAGCAACTTTTGACAATGGGTACAGTGGATCTAACAAACACTTGTTACATAAATTAGATTGTTCATGATATATTATTAAAGAAATTACTATTTACAGACAAGCAAAAAGCAAATTAGGATGTTGAATTTGGGATCACAACGTACTTCATCACAATAGTTGTGCAAGGCTTTTCATGAAAATGAGACTTCTTACCTAAAGCAACTCTAGCAGTTATGAGGAAACAACAATTTACAAAGGTATTAAGTCTCATCTAAAGATCCAGGAAAAATGCTGTGGAAAAGTAAAATGCAGAGTCTGTTGTTAACTAAGACTGCAGATTCCGAAGCAAGATACTTTGTAACTTACCAATTGCTTCAACTAGTCGTAGAACCATGTTTCCAGTATGAATTCCTTTGACGCAGCTTGTCCAATAAACTTTGTATGCTTCAAAGATGTAAATGCAACCCTGGAAAGATGTTAAACAGTCAGTGGAATGGACAATCTACAGTCCACAAAGACAAAAAATCCTATTGCATTATGCAGATTTTGTGAAGTCTAATTTATGTCTTATGACATGAGACAGTATTTTGGGTTAAAAACACACCAAATTGTTCAGATTCAACAATCAACTAATATGTTTGCTATTCTGAAAGAGTTTTAAACGTAATATCAGACTAAGTATTGACAGTACATGGGAAATGGAAACCTTTGCATTAGCCAGAAGTATAAACAATCTGAAATGTTATTCCTTTGAGTTTGAGACCTGCCTCATATTTTTAGGCAATAATCAAGTTTCCTGTATTAGCTCTTCGGGATAAAAAGCAACATCAAACTTCTTTCTTCCTTGTGTCACTCTGATACAATAGTCTCAGATATGATCTCATATTCACTAAATGCTTGCATCAAATTTACTTGAAAATTTGAGACTTAAGTGTGGATTACAGAAGTGCCATCTATTATGTTGTTATCGACATTTTTACCCTGACAAATTACGAGCATGCTGCAATGGGAACTCACGTTGAGAAAAAAGACAAGTTCCATTTCTGATGTTAAAAGATAAAGAAGTTCAGAAATCAAGCTTACAAATTCCACCTATGCAGTATAGGCATACGAAGAAAACCCATCCCACAAGAAGATTAGCGATTTTTCAACACAACTTACAGCTTAGAAATGAAAGGGAAAAAAATGGGTCTCCTGATATACTCTACCAATCCTCGAACACATTGATCAGATATGTAAGGAAGCTATTTTTCTCTATACCATATTAGCTGGTTCATTAGTAAATGATACTCTGCTCTTAAAAACTCACAATTTCTTCCCTTCCACTGTCAGATAAATAAAATAAAAGCCAATCAATAATTTAGGTTAGAACTGCTAGAAAGACCCAAAACAGTATAAACTCTGCCGTTTTGCCATATATTAAGTCCAAAACTAACCGATCAACATGTTTAGGACAAAACCTCTTGACTTACCACTTTGATCTCCAAAGAGAAGTATCAAGATATGCAATCTCAAAATCACGAGATTATGAAAATGTTGAATAACTTTCATGTTATATTGACATACTACCATGAACTTCAACATTTTCAAAGACAGTAAAATTGTTCAAAACACAACAGAAACTACTACTACTACAATTCCAGACCAAGTCTCGACTGTAAATACATCATTATACAATTATACCAAACTTGAAATGAGAAAAACGACAAAGTATATGTTGGGGAAATTACATTAAGAAAGCAGAGCATAGAACCTGCCAGAGAACCTCCAACAGCTAAAAGTGCCAAAAAGCGAAAGTCGAATATTGCCTGCATAGAAAGCAGCAGTTATTCTCAAAAAAATTAAAGAGAAAGGGTATTATGAACTGAATAATGTTTTCTTTTTTATGTTACCCTTTCAATGTTTGATTCAGTGGACTCAACAAATCTCACAACCGGGCCTACGTTTGTGTTTGCCAAAGCATAGTCAAACCCCTTTACTGAACTGGTTGCCTTTGCAGACTCAACTTTAATTTGGGCTGGTGCTGCTGCTGTTGATGATGATTCATGATGAGAAGAAGAAGATGGAGAAGATGAGCTTTGCAGAGAAGCAAGCGGAGAAAAGGGGAGGCGTTTTCTGTAAATTCTTGGAGATTGAAGGGTTGTTCTGCAGAGGGAAAGAGAAGAAGAAGTTACTGGGATGGGAGTTGAGAGTGCCATAGTTGCAGAGGGAGGGAAGAATGATGTCAGTTTGAAGGAGGGACTGAGCTGAGAAGTTTATGTGAAAGTAGAGAGCGTTCCTCGAAAAAAGATTTTTGGTGCTTTTGGACCCGCCTATTTTGTCCATTTAGGTAATATAATAACACGAGGTGAACCTGGTGCGGCCCCACTTATAGACCTATAGCCTACTTCTCCCAACTTGGCTAACAGGTCACTCCGAACCAATGATTTAAAACACAGACCGGTGACTGACTCGGCTGAGCCGTCGGTTCCGATTCAATAGGGCGGTTCACCGATTTACTGTTTTTATTTATTTTAAAAATTAAAAAAATCTGAAAAGTCCTCCCCCCATAGTCAGTGATGACTTCTCTTACATCGCTATTATCGCTTAAACAAAGGATTCAAAAACATGTTTGTACGCATAAATTTAATAGTATTCTTTTGCCAAAAATCAAGAGACTTTTAAATCCCCTAAAATATTTTCTTGATAGCATGAAAAAATAGAAAAAATATTTGATAGACTGAATTTTTTCAAAGAAAAAAAGAGAAAAAAAATCAAACAAACAAAAAAAATTGCAAGCCAAGAAAGAAGCTTTCAGGATTGTAAACAACCATTAAAAAAGAGGTAATTAAATATTTGGAAGCATTTATAGAAGATATGTTTAATATTTGGAAGCAACCATTGCCAACTGCTGGTAGCCAAAAACTTCCTACTCTTGATGATGTAAACGGTTGATGCACCAATATATTGGAAACATTGGGAAGAAAAGTTCAAAAGAAAATGGAATAAAAGAAATTCAACATATAGACACAAGACAGAAAAGAAAAAGTTCAAAAGATTAAACTAAAAATGATGGATGAAAACACCAACATATTAAACTAAAGAGTGGAATTAAGAAGAGGGTGACAAAGGAAAAAAAAAAAGGAGAGAGTGGAGATTGAAGATTAGAAAGAAGAGAGAGTGGAGTAAAGATGAAAGTTTGTAATAGAAAGATCATGAAAATCATGTTTCGATGATGTGAAAATTGGAATTGAGAAGAGAAAGTAGGAAAGATTGTAGTGGCAGCTAATGTTTAGGGTTAATATTTGTAGGCTTATTTAGTAATAACATCTAAAGAAAATTTTTGACATGATAAATTGTCAACCAAGTCTTGGTGCATTTGATAGTTGTTGAACATTCATAACAAAGGTCCTAGGTTTGCACAGTCCCAAAATGGCCGGTTCATGGTTCGTCCGGTTTTTAGCGATTCGCACAATTGGAATGGTTTATATCGCTTTTGAAGTACTATCCGGCTTTTGTACTAAGACCAAACCAGTGAAATAGTCCGTTCGTGGTTCAATCAGTCGAACCGGTCAGTCCAGTCCGGTTCTCGAAACATTTCTCCCAACTAGGTTAACAGATCCCAAAGACAAGAAACGATCTTCAACTTTTCTCCATATCTACCGTTTCTCTTCCTTCTTCAACATCCTTAGCCTTATTTTCAAAATTCAAACGTTTTTGTGGGAGGGAGTTGACGGGGGTTGAGGCAAGATAAATTGCATAACTATGATATTTTCTTGAAATTTTGTTTAGTTTATGGAGAATACCAATTAGAAAGAGTAACAAAGATTGAAAATTTTGAAAGGTGACGAAGAAATAATGAGGATGTAGATCAAGATCTTTGCTGGTGAATATTTGCAAAGACCATGCATTAATTACTAATCTAACTTTTGCTTGTACCTTTTTAGCACTAATAATTGGAAGATCGTGATAGAAGGTGCATGGAAGGGACGGATTTTTTGCGAAGAATCGATGATGGAAGAGCTGAAAAAACTTTTGTTTTGACCTCCATGGAGTTCTATATTTGGATGATTTTTATTGGATTTGACTTTACTAATCTGTTAGGTTGTTAGCGGTTGAGATTCTTTCAAGTAAAATGTAATAATTTAGTTTTATTTCTCGTGGATAATCAGAACGAATCTGAAGAATGAAACTTCTTTCTTGCTTCAACATTTGTTCTTGCGTTTTCTATTTTGGGAGAACAAGGGCTATTAACTATCATTCTCTAACCCTTTTCAGAGAGTTGACAAAGCAAGTCCTCATTAACAAAGAAAAAAAAACAAGCTTACCATTTCCCAAAAGCAAAAAAAAAAAAAAAGACATGGGTATTTAAGAACCACACAGTTCACGAGTAGGGCCGTGAACCAATTTTACCCATGTTTTTGCCCATAAAATTTGGGGGGCAGCTATTGAAATTAGGTAATTTCAAACTAGGGTTACCTAAACCTTTTCTTAATACATACTTGTTGACACATGGTCAATGCTGATAAGAGATAACAAATAATGTAACTTAGATTGGAAATGGTGGAGTTAGGGCATTTCAAATCTTTTATATAACTTTATGTAGATTTTGTAGCCTTTTTTAGAACTACAACTAGTTTTTGATAAGAGTTTTTTAACAACAATGAGATCATGTGTCAAATTTTGATCAATTTTTTTTAGAATTACTTATTTAGAATTAGATTTTATAAAATTTGAAGCAACCAAAAAAAAACCGTAATATAGTAATAAGATTTCCATTAGAGGCCAAAAAAAAAGATTGAGGCTATACAATTACAGTGGTTATTCTAAGATATGATTAATGATAGGAATCCATTTATTTAAACTTAGGTGGATAAAATTTATTGTGAGACGTAATTTTCAACAAGTGTTATAATTTGTTTGTTGTGCATAAATTTTTTTGTCTCTACATAAGTACATAAATTTTTATCATGCAATTGAGACCAGTGATTATGAAAATTTTGGATTCTTAAAAATAGTCTACCCTGCAAAGGCCTTTGATTTTGATATTGTGTATAGTTAACTCACTGGAATCATTTTTTTCTTCCATAATTACACCTTGCGCATAATTTCCAATCAAGCAAACTGGTAATTTTTCCCACACAAAATCAACAATTTATAAAAAAAAATACTATAGATAAATTACTATACAATCCATTGTAGTCGACAAAAAAATTTGGATTTTTTTTTGTTTACCTTCTTTCTTTTTTTCCCTAAATTTGGCGACAATTAACATGAATAGGGCAACCCATTAAGGGGTTATTCAAGAGAAGGAGAGAGTGGAGACGTAGAGGTAGGAAAGAAGAGAATATTAAGAGGTACAAAAAAAGGGGAAAGGCTTGTAGAGAGGGGCAATGGGAAGAGAGAGGAGATTAGAAGGGAGGTGGGAGGAGGGAATGGAAGGAGGAGGGCAGTGTGGGAGAAAGGGAAAAAGGAATAAAGAAATACAGAGGAAAAAAATTTTATTTCAAAAAAATTGCAAGTTTCTTTATATTTCCTTACATTTTTTACCTTTAATTTGTTTGAATTTTTTTAATAATATCTTTAATTAAGTTCAAGAAATTAAAAAGGACAAACATATCTTCTTGTGCATGTCACGTGTGCTTTCTTCCATAAGTTCAAATGATTGGAAATAATGGAAGTTCTTAAACTTTACGCATTATTTTGTTGCCAACTTATTTGAGACGAAATATAATGGAGAGGATAAAATTTTAGGTCAGCTGTATATGGATCCTTTCAACATGCACAGACTTTAGATAATGTGATGATTTAACGCACGCTTTCACTTTTTGGTGTTTACATCAAGATTATGTGACTTACTAATGTGACATTTGGATATTTACAGTGATATCTATGTCGCTATACGGCTAATTATGTTGTTTGATCGTATATTTTTGTTTCACTTGGATGGTTTTGAATGAAATCCATGCCCTCTTTTTATCATAAATATTTTACTATAACTAAATGATATTTAGTTGTGATTCTTACGAAGGTCATCTAAATAGTTCTAGATTTATTTGTTTGATTGAAACATGTGTTTTATATCGTATCTTTTTTCTCTCAATAAACAAATTGTAGCGATAAACTATTCATCTTCGTTTTTATCCAGTTTTTTGAATGTTTTAAATAACAAATAAGGTGCAAGTCTTTTATACTAAAAGTTAGGTGTAATAAAACATTTATGAGCTAAGATATACTAAAAGTTAGGTGTAATAAAACATTTGTGAGCTAAGATAATACATCAAGATTCAAATTTAGTGCTTCACAGTATAAAACTAAATGCAAAAAATATATAAATTAGAGTATTGCATAAACTCTTACAAAATCAAAATTATGTGTAATGTTATCACATTTAAGTGATCCAATCTATGTATAATGGATGACAATTTCAAAATAGGATGCTACTTTATTTACAAGAAGTTAATAACAATATAGGTCAACGAAATATCGAATTTGTGAGGTTGTTTCTCTTTTGGTATTTTTGAGCTAATATTTTAGCTTGTGATTTGTTTGTTATTATTATTTTTCTATGGACGCCGTGAAAAAATTGAAAAAGGTCAGTTTTAGTTTATTATCCAATTAAATGATATGTCCCTCTTTTCCTCTTCTCTCTCACCAAATGTCACTCAGACATACTCGCCTCGCACACTATATGCACAAATTTATTAATATTGCATAGTGAATTTTGGACGAAAAACATTAAATTTGCATGATTTAAATATTTGGAAGCATTTATAGAAGTTTGTGCTTAATATTTGAAAGCAACCATTACCAATTGCTGGTAACCCAAAAACTTCCTACTCCTCATGATGCAAACGGTTGATGCACCAATAGCATATTGGAAATAGTGGAAAGAAAAGAGAAAAAAAGAAATTCAACATATAAACACAGGACACAAAAGAAAGAGTTCAAAAGATTAAACTAAAAATGGAGAAAGAAATCACCAATACATTAAATTAAAGAATGGGACTAAGAAGGGGGTAACGAAGGTAAAAAAAGTAAAGGAGAAAGTAGAAATTGAAGATTAGAAAGAAGAGAGAGTGGAATAAAGATGAAAGCTTGTAATGGAGAGGCCACGAAAATTGTGATATGACGAAGTGAAAATTGGACTTGAGAAGAAAAAGTAAGAAAGATTGAAGTGGCAGCTAATGTTTAGGGTTAATATTTGTAGGATTATTTAGTAATAACGTCCAAAGAAAATTTTTGGCAAGATAAGTTGTCAACCGAAGTTTGGTGTGTTGGGCAGTTGTTGAACATTCATAGCAAAGGTCTCAAGTTTGAA